CTACCCTCTCATAGTGTCTGGAAGTTGTGGGGGTCTGGATGGAGAAGAAGCAGGCTTTAGCTGAATCCTGCAAGACTGTGGGTTTATGTGGCCTGGGAGTGGGGGCTCTTGGTTTATCACCTTTAGTTCTGGATAAGATTGCATTACCTCAGATCTGGGGATTCTCCTAGGCTCGCAACAGCTGTTCAAAGAGCAGGTGGCAGGCATGGCTAGGAAAGCCTTTTCACAACTTTGCGTTGTACACCAATTTTTCCCTTTCCTGGATTGAGGGGCCCTGCACAGTCGGTCATGCCCTGGCCACCTCGCAGTTTAGATTACTGCAATGTGCTCTACATGGGGCTACCCTTGAAGATTATTCGGAAGCTACAACTGGTACAGAACGCAGTGATGCAGAAGATTCTGGAGATCCCTCATGTGGCACATGTAACACCACGGTTACACAAGTTGCACTGGTTACCAATTTCCTTCTGGGTCAAACTCAAAGTTTTGGTCATTACCTTTAAAGTCCTTTGTTGCAAGGGTCCCCCACTCATGTCAGTGAAATAGATCTACTTTGGATCCCCATCAACCAAGGAATTTTGGGTGGAAGATGGGTGAGTTAGGGTCTAGGAGAAGAACCTTTCTGCTATGGGTTCTGGCCTCTGGAATATTCTCCCACTGAAGGTGAGATCCACTCCCACACTCCTGGCCTTCCAAAGGACCTGAAAATTTGGCTCTGCTACCTGGCTTGGACCCCAACTGAAGCACGTTGAATTGGGAGTGGATGACAGGATAGGTAAGATCCCAACTCCCAGGCTACCTACTGTCTTAGTTTTCAGCTTTGGAAGGAAGGAAGGGAGGGAGGGAGGGAGGGAGGGAGAGAGGGAAGGAAGGAAGGAAGGAAGGAAGGAAGGAAGGAAGGAAGGAAGGAAGGAAGGAAGGAAGAGGGAGGGAGGGAGGGAGGGAAGGAGCAAGCAAGAAAGCAAGCAATGGTAAAAGATTTACATTGATCAATATAACAAAGCTATCACATTCTTATTATTCTTATTAAAAAGGTTCTCTAATCCTTCAGAGTAGATTCTGAAGACTAAAGATGTCCATTCATTTGACATATATTGCCAAGTTAGCAACAGAAGCAAACAAAGCAACCAGCAACTCTAGTTATAAGTAACAGTAATTCTGAGGCAATGAGATGCCACAAATATACTGTACAAATCACTCTTTTCCAGGATCAGATTTTTAATTATTGGTTTAACTAATGGATATTTTATAGGCAATCCTCAATTTATGACCATAACTGAAGCCCAAAATTTCTGTTGCTAAGCAAGGCACATGTTAGGTAAATGTTCCCCCATTTTATGATCTTTTTGTCACAGTTGCTGAGTGAATTATTGCAGTTGTTAAGTGAACTGGGTGGTCATTAAGTGAATCTGGCTTCCCCCAATTGACTTCTGATTTCTGACAAAGCCAGCTGGGAAGATTACAAATGGTGATCACAAAACAGTGCAACTGCCATAAGCACATGCCAGTTACCAACTGCCTGAAAACTGATCATGTGACCAAGGGGATGCTACAGCGGTCATAAATATGAAAACAGGTCACTTAAGTCACTTTTTTCAGTGCCATTACTAAACATTCACTAAACTACTGGTTGTAAGTTAAACTACTGGTTGTAAGTTAAACTACTGGTTGTAAGTTGTAACCTGTATTTTGTACTTGTTGTATGTTATAATAATAATGTTTTGAAATCTGAAAGAGCTCTAAAATAGCATTACAATTCATAACATAACATTTTTAGATGTATTATTTTGCTTTCAACTCTTTGGGAGAAAACTGTTACACCTACACACTCTAGATCAATACAACAATCTGAAATACTTGAGTAGTTGATTATTGGATGTTTTATGGATAGTTTATCCTGGGCTTTTCTTATAACTTGCATGTATATCAGTCACAGAAAGGACTTCCTAGAATTCAGAGTAATCTTATGAGGGGAATATTTATATCATTCCTTCCCAAGCAAGGTCACTCTGTCCCTTCTACTCATATGCAATCCTTGTGCTCAACATTATTAGCCTCTCGTGATAGTGAATACACATGAAACTGCACACCATCTGGGCCATTCCTGAATGAGGCTTAACAGAGATATTTTAAGATAGAAGAATCTCCTTTAGTGCCTGCAAAATACACTATTCCCATCCTTCCTTGTTGGAGGAGAAAAATATTTTTGCTTATTTTCCTTAGTCTTTTATTTCTCCACACCATAATCAGCAATTCTGTTCATCTTATATAAATAAAATATAAAAATATACTAAGCATAAAAAGTAAAATGTTACATAGAATGTTTTATTTTACTTATCCTTGCACCTTCCCCTTTCTCCACTGATATCAACTATTTCTCTTGTGACTGTTTTTTTTTTTAGATTTCTAGATCTTTTTTTAGATTTGGCCTAAGTTACTGAAGTCTATCAAATGGGGAAATGACTAGAGGAAGAAAAATTAGGCAAGCCTGTTGCTAGTTCTCTAATTCTCTGTCTAGATCTCATACAAGAGGGAACCTGAAAAAGCTAATGAGAAGAGGTTCCACCTGGGGGAACTGATATAAGTAAAAGAGAGACCAATTCTTTTCACACACCCTCTCCCTACACAACCCTTTCAATCGTAACAGGAGCCCTTCTATGATCTCCCATCCTCTTCCTTGAGTACAGGTAGTCTTTGACTTACAACAGTTCATTTAGTGACCATTCAAAATTACAATGGCACTGAAAAAAGTGTCTGATGACCATTTTTCACACTTAGGACCTTTGTAGCAGCCCCGTGATCGTGTCATCAAAATTCAGATGCTTGGCAACTGGTTCATATTTATTACCATTGCTGTATCCCAAGATCAGGTAATCACCTTTTGCAATTGTTTGACAAGCAAAATCAGTGGGGAAGCCAGATTCACTTAACAACTGTGTTACAAACTTATCAGCTGCAGTGATTCACTTAACAACCATGGTAAGAAAGGTTATAAAATGGGGCAAAACTCACTTAACAAATGTCTGACTGAACAATATAAATGTTGGGCTCAAATGGGGTCAAAAGTCAAGGACTACTTGTACTAGACCCAGTGAGGTATCTGTTAGATTACTAGAAATTATTACTAGAAAACAATTCTGAGAGTATCCAGTGGATGAGAAAATGCCCATCTGCAAACAAGGATCAGCTAAAAACTAGGAAGAGAATGAATTGGGAGTATTTAAAAAAATCCTCAGACCTTTCTGGATTTTATTGGATTGTTTCCTTTGGAGTCCATGTTGTCTATGTAATATGTAATCTGGACAAAAGTTACTGGTCCAACAAGAATTTGAATCTAGTTTTTCCAATTCTAATATTCTATTCACTGGTTAATTTAGTATGTTTCAATTTCACATCTTAATATGCACTAGGCCAATTTTATTTATATAATAACTTTATTCTCTACAAAAAGTGTCCCATTTTTTGAGTTATAAAATTTTGAATAAATTAAAAGAAAAATGTCTAAGTAAATAAGATGACAAAATAAATTGAAAAAAGACATTTAAGATGTCTAAATATATATTACACTGTACTGAATAAGAACATTAAAAACTTCCACTTCATCCCAAAGATACTAGTAATTATGACTTTTGTATTACACAAAAGTAAAATTGGAATTAAAGTATCAATTGCTCACTCTAGATCTCTCACATGCAAAGGTCTGCATTACAGCAGACCTTCTACAGATCTTTCAGATAAGCACATTTGCTTTCAATGTTGTGCTACTACATATTCCATACTTTCACCTCAGTTACACTCTTAAACTAGCTGAAAAAAATTGAAGTTATAAATCCTTAGTGTTCTGTTCCTTCAATTCAAAACCTGTGTTCAGGGGTGCAACAACCGGTATAACAATCAATTCGGTGAGCGCGCACTCTGCATTTTAAAAAGCTAATACTTACCTTCAACTGCAGCTGAAGAAAACAGCTGAGGCATGGCAAAGCGCTCTGCCGCGTGAATCAGCTGTGCTCTGACAAAAAGACATAAAGCACAGGAAAGAGCAGGGGCGGGCAGGCCCACATGCTTATCGGAGACAGCTGATCGTCAGAACAAGACATTCGCCTGAACCAGTCTGAACAAGGAGAATCCCACCCAGGGGTGGGATTCAAAATTTTTAACACCCGGTTCTGTGGGCTTGGCTTAGATGGTGGGCATGGCCTGGTAGTGATGTGATTGGGTGGACATGGCTTGATGGTCATATTATTGGCTGGGTGTGGCCAACTCAATATCACTCACATTGAGGCACACATTTCCTCCCCTGGCCTCTCAAGACTGTGGGGATGCTGCAACAGTCATAAGTGTGAAAAATGGTCATAAGTCACTTTTTTCAGTGCCATTGTAACTTTGAATGGTCATTCCACACAAGCAAAGTACCAGAAAAGAAGGGGGGAAAAACTCGAGACGTTCCTGATGCAGAAAGTCTAGTCCTGCCAAGAATGTAATAAGGATTAACGGAGAGGCAGTTTCTGTAAGCAACACGAGAATGTTTCCTTCCTGCCTTCCTTACAGGATTAGGCCAGTAATTTCTTCTAACAACCGGTTCTCCAAACTGCTTAGAATGTTAACAACCGATTCTAGCGAATAGGTGCAAACTGGTAAAATCCCACCCCTGATCCCACCCCTCCTGTGTTCCTGCCACCAGATTTAAACTTTAGATATGGCTACCCATACACCAAATGGTTTTAAGAAGTGAGATTGATTACAAGACATACCATTGAAACAAACAAAATGTTAAAAAGTAATGATATTTATGTAGTTAAAAGCACATCTAAATCATATTAAAGTAACCAAAATACCTTTACAAGGCATGTCACAACTTTTGAGCACCCAGCTTATGATTGGAAATTGAAAGTTGAAAATGTTGACATGCTCTATATTTCAATATACAACCAGACAGTTTCAATGATTGAAGAGACTAGATGTAAAGAAGAAGAAGAAGAGTTGCATAACCTTTCACTTACCTTTCTCACATTATAAAAATCTCGATGGGGGTTACTCTTCAGTTCTTTTAGTTCAGACATTTCATTTAGCATTTCATGTAATCCAAACTTAGATCCTAGAAAGTTAAGCCGCTTATGGCAATATGTCTTCCTGTGAGAGATGAACCATAATTGATTGATTATACTTTTATATTATATAGAAAAGAATCATTTTACACTAATAACAGATATCTGCTGGGGATTAATACTGCTTAGGCACCTCTGCAGTAGGGGGTAAAAATGTAAATAAGACAGTTGTGAGCACACAAGTGAAACAAGTCCTTTTTAATATGTGTCCCCTGTATATAAAATAGGGGGGGAAGGAGTGATTTCACAGTTGTGTGAACCATCTTATATTTTTGACATGCCCAGAGGAGCCCTGGTCCAAACAACTTTGAACTAGAACTGTTTTAATGTGAAGCGTTCCATTTCATGTTAACAATGTACTACTTCACACTAGAACAACTGTTTCTCATTCAATGGGTCATTTCCATTCTTCTGATTAAGGAACACTTGTTTATATTTACTTTTCAGAAAATGCTGGGACCTAAGCCACTACCACAACTCAGATGTTACATATACTATTCTTCCACTGTATATGTACCTAATAATGTATTTTCAGATTAAAGCTATTTCTAAATAAACTTGTCTAGGATTAGGGTTCTAAAACTTCATCAGACAAAAGCGGTTGAAGAACAACTGCATTATGGTTAATAAAGCATTTAATATCCTAGCCTTATTGAGTCCTTAAAGTTAAAAAGAACCATACGTTGGGCCATCAGCAATAAGAGCCAGAACATGGCTGAGGTCAAGGGTGTAGGTGTGCCGATCAGGATAAGGCAAACTTCGTGATTCATTAATTTCCATCATGTCTTTGTTTTCAAAAACTAAGAAGATGCCATCCTTCATCTTTACAACATAGTCTAAATTCCCTGGAGAATCATCAAGATTGTAAGGATCGACTAGTTCTTTTGGTGGTGGATGGAAATCTGCAAAACATCAAGGTCAGACATTCTAGCATCATTTAAAATACAGACTCAGTCTGTCACAGCTGGAAATTAAATTGTTAGTAATCAGTAGCTTTTCAAAAAAACAACTGTATGCTGGTCTTATTGTGAAATAGTAACTCTGCTTAAAGTCTGTAGAGATTCTCATCATCCAGGTCTTTTAAAAAAATTATTATTGTTTTATTGATTTTCTATTAAATAAATTTCTTAGTGCTTAATAAACATCGTGTTGTCTGGATATTTAATTTACTTAGCAATACAAATTACATTTGTAATCTCTACCCCTTTTTTCCAGCCATTGGTAAAATAAATTCCGTATTTGGTAGTATTCTACATTCTCTTTCTGTTTAATTTTAATTCGAACCTTTTCTGCACAATCTAATATCTTCTTAACCATTTCTTCATCTCGCGGTTTATCTTCATTTTTCCAATATTGTGCGAAAATAATCCTTGCTACTGTTAAGACATGTAATATTAAATACATACTTTTCTTATCAAGTTTTTCTGATATTATACCTAATAAAAATAGTTCAGGTTTGAAATCAACATGTTTCCCTATCATCTTTTCTAACTATCTGTGTATCTTTGCCCAATTTTTTTTTGCTTTCTCACAAATTCACCACAAATGATAAAATGTGCCTTTTTTCTTATTACATTTCCAACATTTGTTAGACATATTTTTAAACATTTTATCTAATATAGCAGGTGGTAAATGCCATCTATATAATATTTTATATAAATTTTCTTTATAAGAGGTCACCATTGTTAATTTATAATTCCTTTCCCATGTTTTGCCATTTCTCTAGTTCTATATTATGGCCAATTTTTTTTCCCATTGTAGCATTATCTCTTTTATTTGTTCATTTTCCATTTTCAAATTCAATATACTTCTTAATTAGGTTTTCATCAGAGTTCAACAGTACCTGATCAAAGATGTTTGTCTTTTATAGAAGCTATACTCCCATGTCCGAATTATATCTAGATTGTATTTGCGATTTTGGCCACCATGATAATATAATGTCCTGTTCTTCAAGCTCTTGTTTCGATTTTAATTTCCCTTCATTATCCAAAATATCTTTATAAGTGACAATTTTTCAAACTTTACCAAGTTATCCTCCATAGTTGATATAATTTCATTTGTTGTCATTGAGTACAATTATGGTTTTAAGAAATAATATGCTTTAAAGTTAAATAGAACTTGGATCATGATATTTAGTTTAACAAATCAAGTTTAAGAAAACCATAACTTAGCTCAATGGTGGGACTCGGTCAGAAATCAAAGCATTATTTTTAATTAGAGCTACCTGGGAGTACTTCATCTTCAGTTTTCCATTTTTCATTTTTCATACTACATAAATATTGTGCTGTTGTCCTTGGAAAACGATGGTAAGCAAAGCGGCAATACTTCTCTCGAATAAGTAAAGCTTTTGCTAAATTCCTGGCAGCTTGTTCATAATCATCAACTGTAACCTAAAGGGAGAGGTTATACAATTAGTAATTAAAAGTATAATCCTAATCCAAAATGAATGTACTTTAAAGTAAATTATGCTTCTCTTTGAAGCAATACACCTCTTCCAGGAAAATCTCAATAGCTTCCTTGCCTGGTATAAAGACAGACCACTAACCATTTCCAAAGTCATGCCATAGCATCTATTTCACCATCTTCCCCACAAGGAACAGTGCCCAAGGATCAGTGGTGGGATTCAAATTATTTTATTACCGGTTCTATGGGCATACTACCGGTTCTGAGGGGGGTGCAGTCAAATTGTTTTATTACTGGTTCTGTGGGCATGGCTTGGTGGGCGTGGCAGGGGAAGGATACTGTAAAATCTCCAGTCAGAGGTGGTATTTGCTGGTTCTCCGAACTACTCAGAATTTCTGCTACCAGTTCTCCAGAACTGGTCAGAATGTGCTGAATACCACCTCTGCCAAGGATGGCTTAAACTAAAGGTTCTGGAAGTGGTGTTTTCCCTAACATCCTACTTCAAGACACTTGTCTACACCAGGGCAGTCAAATCAAGGCCCACGGACCAGATGCGGCCTGCATGGTGCTTGCATCTGGCCCCCAGGGCCACTCTGGAAACAGCAAAGGACCGCAAGCTCTGTTTTTGCTGTCACAAGATGCAGGAGGCCGTCACAGCTTAAAATGGAGTTCACAAGGGCCACGTGCGGCCCACTCAAGCTCCATTTTCACTGTCAGAGGATATAGGAGGCTGTCGTAGTTGAAAACGGTGCTCAGGAGCCAGTTTTTGCTGGCAGAGCCTCGGGACACCGCAAGCACCCCCAACACGAGTGACATCAAGCTGGCCATACCCACCCTGGCTACATCTCCCTGAGGTCAAACACAACCCTGATAGGGCCCTCAATGAAATTGAGTTTGACACCCCTGGTGTACACAATGTAAAGAGTGTTGATGGATTTCATAAAAGTAGCCTAAAATAATATGCATACTCTGGGTCAGCAATATTATGACTCCAACCAGAATGGAACAACTTGCCACCAGGCCTGAGGAGAGGAGGGTGCAGCCAGTACAGTGTTCCGGGGCCCATGAAGTGCAAAGAGGGTTCATGAATGGGGGAAAATTAAAATGTTTACAAAAGCAAATTTTTAAAAAGAAAAACAATATTGGATATATACCTCATACTCTATACTTTGTGTGTATAGCAAAACCACCTTGCAGTCTTGTTTGACATAATCTTTAATCTGAAACTCAGTGAAAGTTATTTATGTAACTTATTGAATTTTAATTTCATTATTTAAGTTTGCAAGTTTAGTTTCATTTTGTTTATGAATATATTTTATATTTCATTTCAATTTATCAATGGTTATGAAATGTCATCTCAAAAATCTAGAGCTCAAAAATGCAAGGAAAAACAGAAATGTGATGAAATTAATAAAAAGGGTAATGAACGCTTTTTCAATGTGGCATTAAATGCAGAACAAGAGAAACTAACCAAAATGAAACTTTAAATTCAGAACAATGTGAGACAAGTGCAGAACTGAAACAAAGGTCTGTCTTCTATGTAATATTGGATAAAGTTATTGGTGGACTGACTGTTCATTTCAATGCTGCAGTGAACATTTCTAGGAAGTTCAGCTTCCTCTGGAAGTACCTATCAATTCCTCAAGATGAAAGAAAAATCAAAATTACTGGCAGATCAATATCCCGCTGATATCAGTGAAGATCTTGTAATGGAGATAAGTCATTTGCCAATCTGTTCATCAAGCAAATTTTGGAGAGGGCCAACTGAGTCCAGTAGAGCTACTGAATTGCTTGAAAAGATACAAGCTGCAAGGACTCTTTCCAAATATATGTCTCTGTCTCCATATTCTGTTAACAATTCCTGCCACTATTACCTCTGCAGAGCATTCATTTAGCAAACTAAAGCTGATAAAAAATATCTAAGATCGACTATGTCACAGAAGTGAATGGTAGATTTGGCAAGACTCAATAGTATTGAATCTGATCTTGCAAAGACAATTGATTTTGGTGCTGTGATTCGCAATTTTGCCAGGAAAAAGGCTAGGAAAGCACCTTTGTTTAGCAGAATATAAATGCCATTACATCTCAACTATAATAACTGTTATGAGCTTGTAATCAATCTAGTATTAAATGTATTGCTTATGTATATTGTTTCATTATTGTTTATATACTAATGTGTATTATTGTTTTTATTATCTTTTACAGAAGTACTTGTCTTCTTTTTAATATATTTGCAAGTATGTTTGAATGTAATTAATAAATGTACCATTATGACATTATTGATTTATGTGTCCATGTGTAGGTGAGGGGGACCATATTAGTCTTGTTCCAGCACTTAATAATCCTCTCGGCAGCCCTGCTTGCCACAGCCAACTCATCATGGCCAACTCATCAAAGCCAACTCACTGTGGGACAACTCACTGCGGAACAATTTAATAATTCTCTTTAATTATTTAAAATAAAATTTAAAACTATTTTCATTTTTTTCCATTCACATTTCATTCTGTCCCTCCTTTCTTTAATGATTCTGTTCCCCTATTTCTTTAATATTAGTGTAACTCTTGTCCTGCAGTGAGGTGTCCTGCAGTAAGTTGGCTATGGTGAGTTGTCCTGCAGTAAGTTGGCCAGGCGAGTTGGCTGCTGTGAGTTAGCTATAGCAAGTTGGCCATGGTGAGTTGACTGTGGTGAATTGTCATAGACCCGTCTCCAACTAGTTCTGCTGTTTCCTATGGAATATTTGCCTCACATTTCATCCCTGATCTCCTTACCCATGTTCCATTTCTCTTTTGGCAGCAAGAGAGACCAGAACTTTTGCAGCCACCTTTTTTTAAAAAAAATGTTGATCAACCTATTAACCGAATGTAAAATCATGGCTTACAGCATTAGTGGACAATATAATTGAAAAGGGTCAGCCCTTGGAATTTCTGTAGCCTGTGGGGTTCGAACTTGCCTTTCTGTGTGGTCTCAAGGTATTCCTGATTCTTTGCTTCATCTTCTTATATTCTAAGAATACTTTATAATTCCTATGCTCATCCTCATAGCTAACCAATTCTCAAATTCCATCTGTTTAGCAGCACTTGTCCACTGAATAAATGGAAACTAAGAGATACAAAAAGCCAAACTCTCTCAATTAGTGATTCATAGCCAAACAGTTAACTAGTCAACTCAGTTTCAAAACATGCTTTAAAGTTAAATTGGTCAACAGTAGAACAGAAAAGAACATCTGCAGTGTATGAAGTAATCACTTTGTACCTGTCAACCTATAAGTGGGCAGATGTATAAACGGAACAACAAATAAATAAATTCACATACTAGATGATGTTGGGCAAGGCTGGAATTTCAGTTGAGACAGCCAACCATCACAGCCATTAATGAATTTCTTAAACATATGGTTATACATATTTGTTCATTTATTATATGTTAAATTGAAATTATGAGAAGTTTTCTAGATTAGTGATAATTAATTTTTTTTAAAAATTGATGTACTTTTTGTCAACTTTTAACTTTTCCCATTATTCCCCTCCCTATTTTTCCTTTATGTTAGTTTGCATTTTAATGTTTATGAAATACAATAAAAATGTTTGTAAAAAAAAGAAGAATGCTGCATGTGGAAGTTGAATTAACATAGTGCAGTGCAGACATATGGGAGACACATAATAAAGGTGCAATTGTGGGGGGTATAAATAGAGTGGCCATGATTTCCTGCCAGCTCTGGGGTGAGAAAGCAGCTGTATGCATGCGGCCTATATTACTCAAGAATGCAAGTGGGAGTCAATTCACAGAATGCTCCTTCATTCAAAGGAATTCCCTGCATATAAAAAGCTAGAAAATTGTGACAGAATGCTTCTCACTAATGCCTTATTAAGTATCTTGTGTGAAAATGTTTTACAGATGGGTATTTAATTATCCACCTTCTATGTGCAGTCTGGCTAAGATTTATCACTTCAGTGAGAATCAGAGATAGAGATCAGATATTTAAACTTTAAATCAGAGATGATTTAAAATATAACTTTGTAGAACAATGTGATTAAGACCTCAGCTAATTCAGTAAATGCAAAACACATTTCCAGACCTTTGGCTATAATTAATGGTTCAAGAAATTATATTCAGGTCTAGGCTTGTATCTGCTTTCTGAGGACTTGTTAGAAAGGATCCTTTCAGTGTAATGAACACTGTTACTTCATATCAACACATCATACAAGTGAAGATGTAGTATCCTATTTGTTACCTGAAGCTGGGGGCCTCTGGACATTTCCCGCAAAGTTATCTAGTTATCTGACTCCAACTTCATATCTATTCATATTCCTAGTAATAATATCCTGCAAATGGAACAAGGCCAATATATGTCACTATGGAAAGTATGCTTGGACTTCCTATTTTAGGTAATGTCTAGTCATGTTGTTTAGCAGTACATGCCTCCAGTTGAGGATTAATATGAAGAAGAAATTGAAGATTGAAGTTGTCTTTAACTACTACAAGAATCCCACGGGACAAATTGTGTACTCAAATGTATCATTTGGAAAACTGTATTTCTATAGCAGTATATTATATCTTTATTCACTGCAACAAGGCTGTTGACCAAGACAAAATTCTCATGGCTGCTTAAACAATTCTACACAAGCATAAGTAGATAATAATTTAAAAATAATAATTAGCATAAAATTTAATTTCATATTATATATATATAATATTTATCTTATAAGAAAAAAAATCATTGATATCATCTGTCTGTTTGCTTACCCCAGCACAGTAATCCCCAGTAATTGTAACTCTTTGAAATTCTGGTACATCGTATGTCCCTTGGATAGGTTGAAAGGCACCTGGAAGAACTGGAGTAGGAGGAGACACAGCCGGAGTAGCTGATGGAGGCTTCCAGTCTTGCAATGGAATTTGTAATGACAAGGACTGGGATCGAATCATCTTGAAACTTTTCTTCCTAGATATACATAGCACACAATATAAAGTCAACAAGACTTCCATTTAAAGCAACAAATTGTCTCTTTGCTCTGGAAACCTTCTAAATAATAATACACACATGGACAGACAAATGGTCTGTTGAGACTTCAGTCCAAATGCTTCATTTCACAATGTTTATCAAATGAGCAATATTTGTAAACTTATTTCAAGATTGACATTATTACAATGTAAACCTTTTGACTGCTATTTGAATGAATGTAGAAGTCTTTTTCCCCACATTAAAAGGCAATACTTTTGTTTAATTAACTTGCTAAATATTTTGATAGAAGAGAACATAATTAGAAGGGATTTAATGGATTATGTGATGCCCATAAACATCTTTTGTATTTATATCTCAGCCATCTATTTACAGCTGCTCATTGGTTACTTGTCCTCTATCCCTGGTGAGAAAGATAGAGAATCATAGGGGCAACAAGTATGAATTTCACACAACAGTCAAACAGTATTTTTTTAAAAAAAACTTAGTATCTGCAGGGAAGATGAAGAAAAAGAATGAACTTGGATTTTATGTAGGCTCATACTTGCATACAAGCTGTATAAGTAGTAGGATCAATTGGATTCCTGATTTGCTCGCTTTCTAGTTTTTCTTTATAAGTTGATTTCATTTCTAACTCATATTCCCCACTTTCAGTTTAACTGAATAAACCAGAAGTGGATGCCACTGAATTCATATAAATAAGAATTCACAGAAAAGAGAAGACAACTAGCATCAAGGTGAATAAACTCAGTTATTGTGGCAATGGATGTACTGTTGAAAAGATCTGAAAGACCAGTGTAAGGACAGATCATTATGGAGAAAATATATTTATAGGATTTACAACTTGATGGCACATTATGAGTCAATCAAAAATACATCAACAAAAAGACTAAAATCATATAAAAGCCAATGGCAGGATTAAAAAGTGACAACACTTCATATTACATCTGATGGTATCAAACAACTGTTCTTAGCAGACCTCAAATCTCATTACTAAACATTCTTCCACTCTCCAAACCTACCTTTTGGTAGTTTCCAAAGACTGCTGTTCTGCCAATTCCTTCTGAAGTTCTCTTTCTTTGGCCTCTTGTTGCCCAATAGGACAATCTTCAGGCACAGTGAAAAGTGACAAGGCATCTTTGCTATCTTCTTCTCGAAGAACCTTGGCAAAAACCTTTTCAGCTAAGATTCTCACAGACTCGTCAACTTCAGACGTGTTTAACTTTGGGAACTGTCTGGGCATCTCTGCTATGAAAAACACAATGTGTTAATTCTGCTACTTGTATTAATATAAAATGTAATAAATTCACACTACTCTTAATAATTTACAAAAAGCACATTTTACCTTAAATTCTTCCATTTTCCACTCATCCTAGCCAGGTTTTCTTATATGGATAAACCAATTTTAAAGACTTGAATAGCTCAGCAGGAATTACTAAAATTAGGTAAGCTTCAAATATTCCTGTGCAATACGTGTGAAAGGTTTTCTAATGAAATGTTTTCTTTCCAGTTTCCATATTCATTATTTCTTAGTCCTAATTATATTAGATGCAATTCAAAAAGGCTCTGCAGTTATGTAAAAAGGATGAATGCTGCTTGCATGATTATCTGCTTATCTAGGTCTGGGAGGTGTTAGCATGTCATGTGACTACCCTAGGTCCAAAACAGGCCTCCATTTGGGACTAAGGTAACCCTCTATCTTCAGCAACTCTATCATGCAAGCTGCTTACCAGAAGCTTAACTGTTCCTTCTTGATGCTTTCCTTAACTGTTCCTTCTTGATACAAATTCAAAGCCTAAAAAAGTCCCTGGGAAAATGTGTCCCTTCTGTGAACTCTGTTATAATCTTTATTTTTCCCCTGAAACCACAAAGAGGATGGAAAAGGATCTAAGTGGGTGTGGATAACCCCTCCCAATGCTGCCCTCATGCCCAAACGCTGAAAGGTGCTGCCAACACTGATTGCACAACTGTGAACTGATAAAATACAACAGGAAATTGCAGCAGGCAGGAGTGCCGAAAAAGTAAGCAGTTTAAAACTGTTTCAATTGTTCCCAACCCTGTACTGTTTGCACACAATTTGTTTGTGTTTATGTGACTATAGAGGGCATGACTAAGTTAATGATGTTGTAAAAATATAATCGGCATGTGATTAAATTTAAGAAAAAAATTGACCTTTTCCATACCAAACACAACAACTGAGAAGAATGTAGATTTACACTGAATAACCACAACTCAGTGGTGATTTTATGTGCTGCCACACTATTCTGGTAAATCATTTCTTTCTGAAGAATTTGATTTAGTAACAACTGGAACCAGCAGAAGCAAGACATCATGGTAGCTATCCAACATAAATTATTTGTTTGATTGTATTGTCTCTTTCCTACAAGGGCCTTCAAACTTGGCAAGTTTAAGACTTGTGGACTTCAACTTCCAGAATTCCTGAGCTAACATGACTGGAAGAGGAATTCTGGGAGTTGAAGTACACAAGTATTAAAGCTGTCAAGTTTGAAGACCCCTGCTTCAGGAACTCCAGACATCGTATTCAACTTGCTGTCTTCCAATTTTCCCCATCACAACATTGTAAAGTCCCAGTTCACCATCTTAACCAGTACATCCTACTACGGTACTCTATATACATTTGCAATGGATATTTCAGTATTTTAATGCCTCGTTTCTACAGTTAATGAAATATTTATGTAATGAAATATTTAACAGCATAAAGTATATTTAGTTTTCCTTGTTTTGCACCCATATGTAGTAAGAATCCGGACAAAGCACAAAATCCATTAGAGTAGTCAAGGCTATTTACCTAGGACCAGACAACCAAGGTTAAACTCAGCTGAAAAACTGAGTGGGCATTTTGGGTCATATATGTCTCCAAGACATACAAGCCAAAAATTGCAATTAATAAACATTTGCATGCTATTATCTTAACCTGCTGTCATGTACAGTTCTTGAACTAAATGTTAGGTTTACCGCTTTGGATAAGGCCAGAACAACTTTAATTTTGATCTTAGAGACAGTAACATTTGGAACGTTTACAGATTTGAAATTCTATTTTTTGTGAACCTCATGAGCAGCCACTTGGCTATTGACAAATATAAGATTTGGAGTTGGGGAAGTTGTACTTTTAAGTCAGTCTTGAGTTGGGGTGATGGCCTGGAAAAGTCGCAATTGTTGACAACAATTTTTAGAACTGGCTTGTCATTATCTTCTTCCAAGTTTGAAAAGGAGTAACTGGTCCAAAGTTGTCTTTGCATCTAGGCCAGATTTAGGAATCCCAGGGTCCTGGTTTCTATCAAATTATCTCCCCCTTTAAGATTTGGTTAAACAGCCTAATATGCATGGGCATCCATTCCTTATCACAATGACAAAACGATGAAACCTATCATAACATCACTATGCAAGTTCCAACATCAAAATACCATGCACAATGAAGTTTGCATTGTGACATGCATTTTAATCACTAATCCTAATTCTCTCTTGGTCCCCAGATTTCTTTACCCATATAATGGAATATACAATAGAACTAACATATGCTGATTTTTTGCTTATCATTGTTCTTAACCCAGCATACTTTAGAGAACTATTCTGTTGTCAAGAGTAACCTCAAACTCTGGAGGAAAGATACATTATAAATTTAGTAAACCAGGCCCAGTTTTTTCTCTACTCTTTTTCATTGTATTTATTATGTCAAACAACTATCACAGGGGCTGGTTTCCATTTGTTTTGAATAACAGCACCTTGTTCCTAAAGCAGGACTATGCAAGCTTATTTGAGTCAAATACAACATTTGGACTTGAACTGATACAGTATGACAAGCACCATACTTCAAGAGTTGCAATAAACAGATGAAGTCAACACAAGTAATTAAATTTGATTTAAATCCAATTTAATTATAATGAATGAATTATATTCAAACTGTATTCAGCTAATGTGATTACTTCAGCTTAAATAACTGCAAAATTGGGGTTGAAAGTCTCATTCATTTCAATGGAAGAGTTAAATGCTATCTTGTTAAATTTCCCTGACTAATAGCAATAGAATTTTTAAAATAGATTTTTAAAACTGATTGGATTATTCTTCAAGTCATCTGTTCAGGAGGAAACAAAACCAAGATTAGTTTTAATCAGATATAGTTTTGATCTAATATTTTTCCTTAGATGTATAAAAGAATATTCCTACAAACTTAATACAGCAAGCCAACTGTTGATACATAAATTTGCTGATCAAAGAAATAATCTAATAATTCCAGTCTAACAATGCCAAAGGGTATTTTATTAATTTCATGAAATGTTAATTTCATCATAACATTTCTTAACATTAAATATTCTGATACTTCATAAAGAAGTAAAGCATTTTAACTTTCATACTTCTTATAATGGGCCTAGTATATTTTATTTCCTATTTCTTATCTATGTAAAAAAATTCCAACAGCACTTATTCAAAAGTAATATCCTGTGGTACGCAACAAACAATACAAGCTTTAAGTACAATCCTTTGTTCTACATAGAATTACATATTCTATTTACTAGATAAACAGAAATTTTATTACACAGTTACAGATATTCTATTGCAGCAGTCATATCACAGATGCCTATGTATATGTACACACAGACATATATACTCCCAACGCTATAACTGGATTTGCTAGCTAAGAAAAATAAGAAAGCAGCTGGTATTTCCAGGCGGCACTCTGTTACACACAAACACACACAAATAAACTTTCCAATATTAAATTTGGTGAACACTGAGAAATTCAGGGGATGCTGTGATGTGCAGTGCTCATGAAACACTGAAGCTGCTAAATCCAATGATGTCACTGCATCTGCTTCCTCCTGTATATTGCTTACCAAATTCATGATCTGCAAAGTGTAATTTTCAAAACACGGAGTGAAAGGAGTTGCTTAATAATAGCAGGAGAAAACGAATGAGAACCAAGATGCTGGAAGAGCCCTGAAATTACAGGATGAAACGAACTGCTTGCTGCAAATGACTTTTTCTCTTGTCCTTTAAGAAACAATGCCTGCATATAATACTGTATATATTTTTGCCTGTTTTTTTTTTCAAAGTTAAGCTGATGAGCTGGTCCTCCGTTTAATCTCTTCGGAATCGGCTCGCTCCCTTCCACTTTCCAGACGTCGAGACCATTTATCGAGTGAGATATATAGTACGGCTTGAATATTTTATATTACAAGCCATTAAGTAGGGAGGGGGGGGAATGATGTAGAGAGAGAGCTCGGGGAGAGCAACTGGGAGAGCCCAGCCAAGCGAGGGGAGCCTCAGCCCAGGAAAGGGATTCCCACCCCCCCACCCTTCCAACCCCAGTCAGGCGGAGCAGTTCTGCAAGTGCTCGAGCCTGGTTTCCATCCGTCCTGAGGACAGCGGCGTGGCCGCAGCCCGTTGCCGCCCTTCCCCAAATCAGCTTTCAACCCGGCCGCCTATTTTTAAGCAGCCACTTACCTAGCGTCCCAGGGGCGGTCATGGTGGAGCTCGGGGAACCGGGCTGCTTTTGGCTGTTGGGCAAGGAGGTTTCACACCAGCCGGTCGGCCTGCTGTGAGAAGGAGGCAGAAGGGGGAGGAGCCGCCGCGGTCAGAAGCTGCCGCATACATTTCGCCCGGGCGCCGCAGCTGCCACGGCCGGCTTAAAAGCGGAGCAGTTGGTCGGAGCAGAAGCAACCCCGGCTCCGGCAAGACGGTCCCCCGCCACATCCCTCCCGTTGCAAACCACTACCACCACCCCTCCCTTCTTCTTGGCAATAGGCCAGCCCGGAAAGGTCTCCTATGCAAATAGGTTGAGTCTTGCCGGCTGCGGAGAGGCTCGTCCCAAGCACCGCCGTATGCGCCGGCGAACACCGAAGATGCGCGCGCGCTCCTCTGGAGGACGTGCGTGCGACCCCTATAACGATGTTTCCTTCCCTCCCCTCCCCACAAACGCTGCGAGGTTAAGCCCGAGCCTCGGTTTCCCTCTTCCTTCTCCTCAGTCCACGCTACCTTGTCTCTCTCCCGCCTCCCCCTCCCCGTTACCCTTCCTTACTCTGCCCGGCTGGACCGCCTCTGCCGGCATTGAAAGTCCACCAAGCCCTGCTCTCTCTCTCTCTTTCTCTCTCTCTCTCTCTCTCTCCAGGATGCGGGCGGCAGGACGAGCGTACCGCAGCCTCTAACCTCAGCCGGCGTCGCCCTCGGCGGTTCTCTCTCAGGCAACCGTCTATCGCCACTCGAGGAAGAGATGGCTGGCTCGCCTTTCCCCGCTGCGACGCCAGCCGGAGCTCTTCGCCTTGAATCCCGGCGCGTTTGAAGAGGAAACTTCGAAGAAGGAGAGGTCGCCTCTGCGAAGCCGGCTCCGGTCCCCCTGGTGGAAAAGCAAAAAGAGAGCAGCGGCGGCGACACGCCTTGCAGGAAGGAGTCTCGGCCAAGGCGGAGGGCGCCTCCTTGCTGGAGTTAAAGCGCAGCCCGGCTGCAGGTGATCGCCTGGCGGCGGCCCTTGAACAACATTGCCGACCTGCTGCGGGAAAGCTTCCCTCTCGCGCGAGATGTAGGGGAAGGGGAAAGGGGGTGGGGGGCTATTCCTGGCCTAAAAGCGGCTCTGGGAGGGAAGTCTTAGGATCGCATCCCGAGTCTGAGGTGTCTTCTTGCCACAATAAAGGTAGCACAAGCCCATTCACAAGTTTGCATAAACAAACGCTAGGGGGAAAAAGTGTAGTACCCACCCTTCTCCTAGAAAAATGAAATATCCTAGCAAATATTTAAAAAGGCAGAATATTTCCCTTAAAAAGAGTAGAAACTCAGAAGCAGAAACTCATCAAAGAGGCAGAAACTCAGCCCTCCCTCCCCACCATTACTCTGGCCTGGGCCAGCCTATTTTACATAACAAAGATCTACTCCAGCTAGAGCTATAATAGGAATTGCCCAAAGCCTTTTCATTACATCATCATCCAGCAAGGCTCAACCAAGCCTGGGACTCAGGACAGCCTACAGAGTTGCCCCTGCATGTCCCCATGGGAGTCTGACAGCCAATCAGAATACAAGCTCAAATTCAAATCCCAACAGAGGGCATAAAATCCAGGCATTCTCAGCATATCAGCCCTTTTTTCTTCACCCAACATCTTGAAGCATGCGATTGTCCTTTTCACTTTGCAGCTCCAAGCCATGTGGTCCTGTCCACCATTAAACCATCTTTCCAAACAGCCTCCATGTTTCTAGTGTCTTTTTCCCCACTTGGAACTGAACCCAGAAGGGTCCAACAAAAGAAACACTGACGGAGCATAGTGGTACAATGTTAAGTGCCACTGATTTCCTCGGGAGAGATGCCAATGGCTGCACAGCTCTCCCCTTCTTCAATGGCAATGGAAATTCATCCAGGTCATGGTTGTCCATGGTTGTGCTTTTTTCAAGAGGCAACTGGACTTTCTGGTTTTTCTTTGAAGACATTTCGTTTCTCATCCAAGAGTGAAGATGATTGGAGGAGAAGCGAAAGGTCTTGAAAGAAAACCCAGAAAGTCCAGTTGTCTCTTGAAAAAACACCTTTGGGTTGTTGGAAGAAATGTCCTTCTGGGTTCAGTTCCAAGTGAGGAAAAAGACACTGGATTCATGGAAGTTGCTTGGAAAGAAGGTTTATTGATGAACAGGATCGCATGTCTTGGAGCTCTCAGGTGAAAAGGGGAAGAGATGCTGAGATTCCCTCTCTGGCTTTGAACTTCCTGGGACATAGGGAGAGTATCCTGATTGGTTGCTTTCAGAGGTCATAGCTAGCTTTGTTGGTTGTCTGTGTGCTAAGTTTGGTTGAATCTTGCTGGGTGGTACAATGAACGGCAATTAAACAGCCTGAAGGAGGTAGATCTTTGTTATGTAGAATAGGCTGCCCCAGGCCTTAATGGCCCATTAACAAAATGGGGGTGGGCTGAGTTTCTGCCTCCCTTTTAGGGGAAATATTGTGCCCTTTTAATATTTCCTAAAATATTTCATTTTTCTAGGAGAGCGGTGGGTTTTAACTTCCTACACGGTCTTCCCTTCCTCGAAAACAGTGGAATTTAGATGTGTCTCTTTGGAGTGGTTGATATAGATGTTGTGCCCCAGGGCTGTTGCTGTGAGGGAGGAGGTTGAGGTCAAGAAGATTAATTTGTGGTATGAATGCAGGCAGTCCTTGGCTTTTGGCTGCAATTGAGCCCAACGTTTCTATTGTTAGGTGAGATATTTGTTAAGTGAGTTTTGCCCCGTTTTACCACCTTTCTTGCCACAGTTGTTAAATGAATCACTGCAGTTGATAAGTTAGTAATCCAGTTGTTAAGTGACTTTGCTTGTCAGAAGGTTGCAAAAGGTGATCACATGACCCCAGGACACAGCGATGGTCATAAATATGGATCAATTGCCAAGTAGCTGAATTTTGATCACATGATCACGGGGATGCTCCCAAGGTTGTTATTGAAAAACAGTCATAAATCACATTTTTAAGTGCCATTGTAACTTTGAACGGTCATTAAATGAACTGTTGTAAGTCGAGAACCACCTGTATAAAAAGATAATGTGATACCAATAACCAGGATCTGAAGACATAGAAAGCAAATTCAGTATTGCAAAGAAAGATTCTTTTCTCTGGGTTCCCCAAACCCAAAATAATAATGCCCAAAGCTTAATAACATGCATTGTACGCTGCCCAGAGTCACTTTGGATAGTGAGATGGGAGACATAATCAATCAATACATAAATAAACATGTTGAAGCCTAAGATCTTAGTTAGAGGGCCATATTCTATACATGGCAAGACAGTTAATTGGACTTTTATACAATGTTGCATTTAAGAATTGTTTCTTATTCAACAGTGTCCCATATTTTTCTACTGGGGCTTTGTCTTTTTATTTTATTGAAAACATTTAAGAAGAAAAAAGTGGATTAACCACATAGCACCTTTTGATTAGTAAAAATTCAGGCTACTTCACTGTAAGGCTTAGTCCAAGCATCTCCTACTCAGAAATAAAATACAACTTCCAACTCCATGGATGGAAGCCACAGTCAAGATATTGCGATGCAAGATAAGAGAGATGGGAATTGCATGTCAGTAGACCAAAAGAACTTTAAAAGATCCCGAATAACCACATTAAGAGAAAACTTAATGTGACGATATCTGGGCAAAATGGGCATATATCTGCTTCAATAAGATTAATGCATTCATTCTAAATTATTGTTTTTGCTCAGGCTATATTTCATCCAGGCTAATTTATCCCTCTGCTCATCAATCCCAAAGAAATATATTTTATGGTTTTATCTCACCAGCTCTTTATGCCAAAGGGACTTCTCCATGGTGGCATCAGTATTGTCAAGTTGAAAAACTAAATTAATGAGTCAACATAAATGCTCAATTAATATGTAAAATAAATCCCATAGGAACCGTGTGATGGCATTGCCACACATTAGAATAGAAACAGCAAAGGTGAGACTTACTGGAATCACAGATCACTTTAACACATAATGTAATTTGTTTTATTTTGATTTAATGTGATATATGAATACAATCATTGTTATTTATTCAGTAGCCTATATTAAGTAAACCATTGCTTAGTACAATGTAAAAACTAGGTTGGATTCTTGCAAAAACTATAGTTGTTGTTTTTTAAAAAAAAAATATATCCTTGACTAAAATATAAAAAAGCAAAAATAAACTAATAACATGAAATAATTTTATATAAGAGTGAAGAACTTGCTAACAAGCTGATGCCCAGTCTACTCTCTTCTACTGATTCCCACAAAACTATATTTCCTAAAAAGAGTGACTCTTCTTTCTGTCAATAAAAAATTCAACCTTTGTTTCCAGGTTGATGTTAACCAAACTACATAACCTGCAAATATTTCTATATCAATCTAGGACAAGGTTCGATATTGTACTGCTTAGATCTATTTCCTCCTGATGAAAATAAAATAAATCATTTTATTTTAAATCAGTAAATAAGCATTATATACAAATGGGAAATATATTGAAGATTTACTTGCTATAACATGCTAAACATAGTTCCTTTTCATCACCAACTAATCTTAAATCTTCTCACTATAGAGTATGGCCAGGACCCAAAAAGCTACTTGAAGTTCATTCCGGAGCTTTTTCCCCAAAAGCTGGCCCTGGTGTCATATTGCAAACTATTTTGGAACATCGGATAGTATTAAAAGAAGCTTGCCTAGAATCTTGCATTAAAATCTCTCTTGATTGGTGAAAATGACTTGGATTCTGATCTTTTTTTATTTTTTCAAAAAATTTGAAAATGGGTAGGATTCCAAGAGAAAAAAAAAAGATTCTCCATGATTTCCATCATAACATGAAATAAACACATAAGCAGTAATCTGATCAGTCTTCTGGCCCATTTAGTCAAGGAATCTGTTTCCAAAGTGTCCAGCCAACTGCACAAGGAAATCTAGTAGATCTTCCAGCAGATGTTCTTCACTGCCATCAAGTTTAATAGCATTGTTTCCATGACTTCCACAAATTGACCCCTGCTTT